GGTGGTGCTGGTGATGGTGGTGCTGGTGATGCTGGTGGTGATGAGAAGGATGCAAGTGCTGCTGCTGCTGCTGCTGCTGCTGCTGCTGGTGATTGGGATGATGATAGTGCTGCTGCTGCTGCTGCTGCTGCTGTTGCTGCTACTACTTTATTGTTAGTGGAATAGTTAAAAGCTACAATTTGCGTGCACTCAAAGTATTTATAAAAATAAAACAAAGAAAAGTTGCATGCATGCGCAGCGGCGGGCAGCAAGGGTTTGGGGTGTACGTACACCTCAGCGGCGTGGGGTGTACGTACACCTGAGGGTTGTGGGGTGTACGTACACCTGAATGCATGCGCGCAGTCCTGGCTGGGCCCTCGGCTTTCTCCTTTATTTCTTCCTGCGTTTCCTTTGCTGGGAGTTGAGGAGCCAGCAGCAGCAGCAGCAGAGGCCCCAGCAGCAGCAGCAGCAGCAGCAGCGGGGGGAGCCGCGCCCCAGCAGCAGCAGCAGCAGCAGCAGCAGCAGCAACAGCAGCAGCAGCAGGGGGGCCCCCCAAACCCGCTGAGCCAAAGCCTCTTTTTAGCGGATGATGTTATAAACCCTCATCCTCGCTTTGGGACTTTGACAGCAAACATCAGAAAGTAATTTATTTTAATTTAATCTTTTCCGACACAAACCTCTGCTGCGCTTCTCTTCAGGCTGCTGCTCGTTGTGCTGCTGCTGCTGTTGCTGCTGCTGCTGCTAGTTGGTTGTGCTGCTGCTGCTGCTGCTATTGTTTTTGGTTGTGCTATGCTGCTGCTGCTGCTGCAGCTGCTTCTGTTGTCGTTGCTGCTTGTGATGCTGCTGTTGCTGCTGCTATTGTTGCTTGTGCTTGTGCTACTGCTGCTGCTGCTATTGTTGCTTGTGCTTGTGCTGCTGCTGCTGCTACTGCTGCTGCTGCTGCTGCTATTGTTGCTTGTGCTGCTGCTGCTGCAGGCGCCGCGGGAGCAAGGTGGAGGCGCTGGTGCCGCTGTACATGGACCGGAACACTCCGAGTTTTGCGGAAGAAAGAAAAGAAAGAAAAGAAAGAAAAGAAAGAAAAGAAAGAAAAGAAAGAAAAGAAAGAAAAGAAAGTTCGGAAGAAAGTTTAATTAAAAAGATAAAGAGCGGAGAAGGCGGCGAAACGCGGCGGGAAATGCAAGAGGCGCTGGTGGAGCTGCTGCTGGGCGGCCGCCGCTGCCTCCTCGCCAGACACCCCCAGGGGCCCTTCCCAGACTCCCACTTGCGCAAAAAAACAGATCTTTGCATTTATATGGACGCAATGGGATTTGGAATGGGAATGAATTGCGTACAGGCCACGTTTTCGCCGCGGAACTTGGCTGCTGCGCGCTACCTGTACGACCAGCTGATCGTGCTGGCGCCGCTGCTGCTGTCGGTGGGTGCTGGAAACCCGGAAAAAAACCGGAGTTCGCGGCCTTTTTTGGCTTTTTAGAACTGCAAAACCCTTTTATTGTCCTTTGCAAAAAGAATTTCCGAAAAAAAACCGCGCTTTCCATGCAGATCGCTCAGCTTTCCGTTGCGACTCCGCAGATCACCGCAGCCACGCCCTTCCTCCGCGGCTGCGTCGCAGCCACTGACACCCGCTGGGACACCATCAGCATGGCCGTCGACAGCAGAAAGCCTGAAGAAAAACAAAAAATAACAAAGTCCAGATATTCCTCCAACTCCCTCTACATCAGCGACAGCCCCGCACTCACCGAGGTCACCAAACCCTAAACCCTAAACCCTAAACCCTAAACCCTAGGCCTCGAGTTCCCCTTCGGCGCAGCGGCAGTTCGGCTTCCCGGGGCGGCTGGGTTCGTTTTCTGTGCAGCTTTTTCAGTTTTCGTTGGAACTTGTCCGTTTTTTGGAGTTTTTTTTGTTTTGGGGAGTTTTTTTTTGTTTTTGGGAGTTTTTTTTCGTTTTTTTCTCACTTTGTTTGAATTTTCTCCTTTTTATTTGTTTTTTATTGTTGTTTTGCACTTCAGAGACTGGAAGAGCTGAACGACGTGGAGGTGAGCGTGAACGAGAAGGCGTTCGCGGCGCTGGTGCGGGCGGGCGTGGACGCGGTGCTGGCGCGGCACGTGGCGTTTCTGTTCGTGCACGACCCGCTGGTGATCTTCAAAGACCGACTTTTGCAAAAAGGAAAAACTGAAGAAGAAATAATCAAAGAAGGAGAAATGGATTGGACTTTGGAAGAAGGAGAGGCGTTTGACAGCGCGGAGGACTTTGAAAACTTGCAAAGCACCAACTGGAACGGCGTGCGCTTCAAGCCGCCGCCGCAGTTTCTGAACGCCACGGAAAGCTGCGCTAAACGCAACTCCAAACCCTCAAAAGACTTCAAATTCGAAAATAAAATCAAAAATGAATCCAAAAATCTTTTTTATTTCCAAAATTCCGACGAAAATCGCCAAAGATCGCCCAAAAGTCAACCCCGAGACCTCATCGGCTGGAGAGTCGAAATGCGCACTCCCGAACTCCAAATCACCGACTTCGAAAACGCCACCTGCATTCTTTTGATTGCAGCACTTGTCCACGTCAGTCCAAACCCTAAACCCTAAACCCTAAACCCTAAACCCTAAACCCTTGAAAACGAGGCTTTTTGAGCCCTTCAGGGCTAAAAACCCTAAACCCTAAACCCTAAACCCTAAACCCTTATCAGACATTTCAGCCCCCAACTTGTGCTCTTTTAATTTTATTTCTCGTTCATCATTTCTTGAAATTAAATTCAAATATAAATTTAATTAAATTTAATTTTAATTTTAATTTTAAATTGTCACCTGTCGATCCTCAGAAGCTGCAATTTCGCCCGTGTTGTTCCCCCGCTGCCGCTGCTGCTGCTGCTGCTGCTGCTGCTGCTGCTGCTGCTGCTGCTGCTGCTGCTGTTGTGTGTGCAGTTGATTGAGGAGGAGGGCATTGACCTGTACATCCCGATGAGTCTGAACGACAAGAACATGGCAGCAGCAGCAAAGTTGAATTCCATTTTGAATCAAAAGTTTTATTTTCGAAAAGAAGTGGAAAAGAACTCAGCAGACAAGTCCGTGGCGCAGCTGTCCATACACTCCATTCTCTTCGGCGAGCCGCAGCAGCAAGGAGACCCCCCGCGGGGCCCCGCGCTGCTGGAGCGCTGCCGTTTGCTGCTGCTGCAGCAGCGCAGCAGCAGCAGCAGCAGCAGCAGCAGCAGCAGCAGCAGCAGCTGCTCTGCTGCTGCTTTCGAAAGCTTCATGGAAATGTACAGCTTTATTTACCTCCGAACTTCCGGCATTCTCCCCACAGATGCTGCTTTCTTGCGAGCTTGTCTTGCTGCTCATCCGGACTACAAGGGCGACTCTGCTGTTGCTGCTGCTGCTGCTTTCGACATTTGCAAGTTGGCCATGAAGATTGGCAGCGGCGAAGTCGAAGTCCCGGAGCTGCTGGGCCCCTTCGCGCGCCGCAGCAGCAGCAGCTGCTGCAGCAGCTGCTGCAGCAGCTGCAGCAGCAGCAGCAGCGGCGGCGACCTCTGCTGCTGCTGCGCCGCCGTCACCCGCCGCAGCTGCTGCAGCAGCAGCAGCAGCAGCAGCAGACCCAGCTTCGTGAAGTCGCAGCCGCTCATGGGGCCGCTGCTGCTGCCGCAGCAGCAGCAGCAGCAGCAGCAGCAGCAGCAGCAAAACTCCTCGCGGAAGATAAACCCGGAAGCGATTCTGCACGGGCGCGGCCGCGTTGCTGCTGCGCTGCAGCACAGCGCCATTCAGCAGAAGCTGCGGACTTACTTGGGAATTAAAAGTTTCCAAAAGTCCACAAATCCAAAAAATAATAATTCAAACTGCTGCTTCCAACAAATCCTCCAAAAAGAAATGCAAAAACAAATGCAGCAAACGCCGCCGCAGGAACTCGTGCGCAGCGACTGAGGTGTACGTACACCCCAGCGCCGCGCACGCCGCAAAGTCCGCCACTCCTCCTTCACTTTTATTATTCTTACATTTATATTTATATTATTATTCATATTATTATTATTTATTTATTTATTTATTTATTTATTTATTTATTTATTTATTCATTTATTTATTTATTTGGTTTTGTTTGTGGCCATTTCGTCGGGGAAGTCCGCAGCAGGACCCCGACTGCAGCAGCAGCTGCATTTGGCTGTCGAATTCTTTTTTGTCTTTTCTTTTTTGTCCAGCGACAAACTTGAAAACAAATGCCAATGAAACTCTTCTTCAATTCTTTCTTTCTTTTCTTTTCCTGCTGCTGCTGCTGCTGCTGCTGCTGCTGCTGCTGCTGCTGCTGCTGCTGCTTCTGCTGCTGCTGCTGCTGCTGCAGTTGAGCAGCAGCAGCAGCAGCAGCTGTTTGGAAAGACTGAGAGCTGCTGCAGTGCGCACACACTTCCACGCGGTGTACATACACCTGAGCGCGTTAGCACAGGCAGTTATGAAGCGAATCTGAAACAAAATAAATATTTATAAACCCTTAGGGTTTAGGGTTTAGGGTTTAGGGTTTAGGGTTTAGGGTTTGGAAGGCAAATATGTTTTAATTGTACTTTTGCAAAAGAAAGTTTTCGTCTCGAGAAAAGCCGCAGCAGCAGCTGCTGCTGGGGTGTACGTACACTGCGCATGCACAGCCCCGAAGTGCTGCTGCACTTCGCCACTCATTTTATTGTTTTTAATTTATTTATTTTTATTTTATTTATTTTCAATTTTATTTATTTTATTTATTTTTATTTTTGTTTTTTTATTTTCATTTAGTCTTTAGAGGCCCTCCAGCTCCAAGTCGAAATCCATTTCCGAGTCCTGTAAAGAAGAATAAAAAAAAATGAAAACAAAAATTAAGGAATTAAAATAAATAAAATAAAAATAAAAAAAGATTAAAATAAATTCAATTTTATGGAATTAATTCAAAAGACTTCGATTTTCCTTGAAAGGGTTTTCAACTTGTGCAATTTTGTTTTTATTTTAATTTGAAATAAATTAAATTTATTTTAATTTGAAATAAATTAAATTTATTTTAATTTGAAAAAATCTTTTTCA